GCACCATGTATACCTGCCTGCCTCCTATGATGGACACTGTCCCTTTGTGAATTCCCTCTACTTGTGCCCGTAGGCAAGAATATTTATAATTCATAATTATAAGCAGAGAAACGTGTATTATTTTCTGATTAAAATATGCTTGTGGTTTTTTTGTTCCCCAATCATGACACATTGTGGAATAAATGCAAAAAATGATAAGACAGTATTTAAATGCTATGTTGCCATGAGCCATAATAATGATGCACACGAACATCTGCTCCACATTTATCCTGTGCCACGTGTCTGTCTGGCAACGAACCTGTGAGGTATGGGTCCTGTGATTGTCCCCATATTTTGGATCAGAGGCAGAGAGAGGTAAAGTGTCTTATCCAAGTGCACACAGCTAATTGGGCCTGTGGCCTGTGTAGGGTGGCTGAGAGGTGTTTTTAATTAGGTGTGGCCATTTCAAAATGAGATTTCACTTGAAATACAGGGATTCCAAGCTGGGTCTGTCTCCTCTGGAGTTTGGGGTTCGCAGGAACAAAGTAGACAGCACTGTGGTGCCATGGAGGGGAACTCTGTTCTGGCCACAGAACATGCCTGAGATGGCTTGGGTTACAGTAGCCGTGTAGCTGAAGATCCGACAGAGAACACTGGGCAGAGTTTTTTCTTCCCGACCTATTGTCTGGCTCCAGCAGTGGGGTGAGGCCTTGAGCCACGCCAGGGTCTTCCTGCAGAGGCCTCCAGAAGCCCTACCTGGTGGGGGTCCTGTTTGCTCTGCCTGGAGCCCAGAGAAAGGGGGCAGCAAGGAGGGAGAGTTTTTAAGTGAGCAGCTGTAGAGGGACATCCCTGTGTAGCCCAACCTGGGGAGGGCCCTGTGGACACATGTCCCTCCTGGGCATGTGGTTCTGATACTTTTTTTTTAAATTTTATTTATTTATTCATGAGAGATGGGGGGCGGGGGGCAGAGACACAGGCAGAGGAAGAAGCAGGGTCCCTGCGGGGAGCCTGATGCGGGACTAGTTGCGGGACCCCGGGATCACGCTCTGAGCCAAAGGCAGACACTCAACCACTGAGCTACCCACGTGTCTCAAAAATCTGCATTTTCTTGGTGAAACCTCATTTTGAAATGGCAGCAGCTAATGAAAAAAATGTCTGAGATACCTTACGGCCATAAAACAGGCCTGGTCTCAAGGGTGGGGCCAGTGGCTTTTAAAAAAAATTGTAAGCTATGCATATTACAATAGTGGTCATTGTAACCATTTGCCAGTGTACCATTCAGTGCCATTAAATCACTCACGGTATTGGTCCACCATTGTCGCCGCTGTCGGTTTTCAGGACATTTTCATTTTTTGAAACAGAAGCTCTGTCCTCATTAAACAGTCTCCCCTCTCCCACCCCTCCCCGTCGGCCTCTGATAACCTGCGTTCTTCTTTCTGTGTCTGTGAATTTGCCTGCTCTGTGTCCCTCTTGTAAGGGGGTTTAGGTAATACTGTCCTGCATCGAGCCTGTTTCTCTCAGCATCACCCGTTCAGGGTCGATCCGTGTTGGAGCGTGTGTCCAAATTTGCTTCCTTTTGGAGGCTGGAGGCTGTTCCACTGTATGTGCGAATAGACCACATTTCGGTTGATGCATTTGTCTGTCCATGGACCTCTGTCTCCCCTGAAGAAGCGTCTGCCCCAGCAAATACCTAGGTTGTGACTATTGCAACCATCTTAATTCTGATTGTGCTGACTAATGGTTGAGCACTAGGGTATGGAACAAGGGAAATGTGGCCTTTGAGGACAGTGGAGGAGGCAAATGCACACTTCTTAGGAGAAAGAGGTGATGGTGGGGTTGCCCGGGGTGCCATGGGCACCGTGGCTTGGCTTCCCCGGGAGAGGCTGCAGCTCAGGGGTGAAGGATGCGCTGCCCGGAGTGCCTGCCCAGTGTCCTTCCTTCACTTGGTGGAGGAGCTGCACAGGGATCCAGAAAGCACATCACGTGGGCGGGATAAGGAGAACCGGGCCAGCTGCCTGCGCTCAAATCTGGCTCCCCGTCCTCGGGCCAGTGCCTGAGTGTCCTCACCTACCAAACGGAGGTGATGATCAGACCTGCGGTATAGGATTGTTGGATCGGATCAGCCCAAACTGATGGTGCTCTGAAGCAATAGCTGTTATTCCTCCTGGGGGCGAGGTCGTGAAAATGGGACCCATGGAGGGTGGGTGGGGTCTTCAAAGCCTCTGTGCTTGCTCAGACGCTATCTGCTGTCACGGGGGGAGCAGGGGAGCCTTTGAGAAGATGCACATGAATCTTTGTGGTGGATGTGGCCCTGGAAAGATCTTACCTGTGGAGAACTTTCCCTGAGCCTGCCAGGAAGCTGGTCTTCCTGTCTCTGCTTAATGACCTTGAGCTTTTCTCCTCAAAAGCATCTCTTTTGTTATTGGACTGTGCCAGTTGTTGTGTAAGGACTGGGATTTCGTGACTGTTTGCTTCCTGCCATTGGACAAACCACGGTTCTTTCTCTGGGCCTCAGTTTACCCATCTGATGGTGTCAGGTTGGCTAATTCCTGAAAGTAGTCCCAAGCACCTGGGCCCTGGAATTCTGTGGCTATTCGTGGGTGGAATCTTACTTATTATGTACGCCCACCGGAGATTGGAAAAAAAGTGAAATTTAAGGAGAAAGGCCACCTCTCATTTCTCTTGGGTCCCTGGACCAGGAGAAGAGACCCCGTGAGAATCCTTCTTCTGGGAACATCAGAGTGCCACTTTGTGCTTTGCCTCTCACTTGCTAGTATGAGTCAGGAAGAGAGCTGGGGATGGAGACGATGGACCCAGCTTAATAGGTCCTGATGCTATTTCCCAGCTACTTCTCCCTTTCCTCCCAATGATGAGACTCCGGAAAACTGTGCTTTCTTTTCAAAGTGGGTCAGAGTCTCCAGGGAAATGAGCCGAGCTGAAGCAGCCGAGATATTCCTGATGACAGAGCTCAGTTCAGCCAATGAGAGGCCAGGGAGGAGGTGGCACACCAGACATCAACACGTTATTGTCTGTTTCGTCGATTAATTTGTTATTTGATCTCCTGACTTAGAGCTCGCATTGTAGTTAGTGAGTAAGAATGCACTTTTTGACATGAACCCATGCCTCACTCGTAACCACCACCTGAAAGACGGGCACACATCTCTGTGGATGATTTTTGACTTTTCATAAAGGGGTGAGGATTTTTTCTGACTAGTTCTGTCCAGGGCTTTTCACCTGGAAAGTACCCAGTCTTGGTGACCTAACTTCAAATTCCTTTAAAAAAAATATTATTTATTCATGAGAGACAGAGAGAGAGAGAGAGAGAGAGAGGCAGAGACACAGGCAGAGGGAGAAGCAGGTTCCCTGCAGGGGGAGCCCAGTGCGGGACTCGATCCCAGGACCCCAGGATCATGCCCTGAGCCAAAGGCAGACGCTCAACCACTGAGCCACCCAGCCCCCCTAACTTCAAATTCCTTGATGTCCACCCACCATCCTTTCTTGCCTTCTTTTGAGCATGGCTGATGTTGGCCCTTGGAGCTGCCGACACTTTGGCGTGCTCAGACATGAGATGTTTAGTAGGCACCTGCAGTGTCGGGTTTTGAGGAGATGGTGGTGACTCCGCCTTGGTCCCTCCCATCATGGTGAGAGTTGGTACATGGACCACACTTACTCTCTTTTCTTTTGACATAAGTCCATGTCTCCCTTAATCATTTCAGGAGTCCAGTAGAACTCTAAGGCCAAGGCTTGGAGACGTCCTCATTACTGAGGGCTCCAGCTAGCTCCTTGTCTTTGTTGCTAAGATCATCTACATTGCTTCAGCTTTGGTAGCAATCACAGGACTTTATTCATTATTAGTTGCAGAAATATATTCTATACTAGGAAGTCCAACTAATGCTTGGAAACCAGATTTCTTTGGGTGAACCTTAAGAGCCAAGACTATGTGGATTCAAATCTAAACTATCATGGAAGATGTTACTCGTTGTGCTTAAAACAGGGGAGAGGGAAGGTTATGTGGCCAAATGTTGGGACATGGTATTTACCGCAGCCCACCTCAGAGAGTTACACTGCATGTGAGCAGATTAAAGGCTCTGAGAAGTCCTGTAGTAAAGAAACCCATTTGACATTGACTCAGCATTTTCCAAACGCTTATTAGCTTTAGAATTTGTTTCCCCGTCCTCATAAACCCATTTAATATTCTTCGGAGCCAGCGTTCCACAAAACACCCTGGAAACACTTGTGGAAATGATTTGTTTCAGCCGAAAACTGCCCGATGGCCAATGTAGGTGGTCAGAAAAAGAAATCTGTTATTTGCAGATGCAGAGTTTTGTTTGGCCCAACTCGTTGGCCCCAAACTGAGGAATTAGTGCTCTTCTCCAGGGAAGGAGAGTTCACTCCTGAGCAAAACCTCTCATCGATTATTGTAATGAGTCATGCGAAATCCAAGCTGTTGCCTGAAAGGTGAGGGGTGGGCCCCTACGCTTCCACCATCTCCAGGGACTCATAAGCTGGGACATCATTTAAGGCTCTTAGAGCAGAATATGTGAGCCACCTGTGTTCCCAGACAATCAAGAAGCCACATATGGGGCAGCCAGTGATCCATAATAGGGCTCCTCTGACTGTCTTGGCATGTGCAGGACATTTTGGAACTAGTCTTTGATTGAACAAAGCATAGAGTTATGTATAATGTGTAACAATACTGCTTTTTTTTTTTTAAGAAAGATATAACAGACATTCAAACATAACAACAGTGGGGTGATGGGCAATTTCTGTTCTCTTCTTTCCCTCATTACCTACGGGTACCCAACTTTCTATTGTCAACATGCACTCCCTGTGGAAAAAGAAATATATGTAAATAAAAATACATGTGTGTTCAAATAGGCACACGTAACGCAAGCACACATGTACACCTTGCTTGGATGACATACGCATAAACCAAGATAAATATAAGTTGGTGAGTTTGGGTCTTAAATCCTTGGTTTCTCACAGTTGCCTCAACGTGTGTCCCTTTTTAATTTTTTCAGATGGGCAACAAATTTGGGAGATGGAAGCCACGGTGGATAAAGACAAGAGCCAGCCAGTAAGCACACGGACGAGATGACCGAGCGCCCTGTCTTGTTTCCTTCCCACCTCCCTTGTGCTCTCTTTCCATCTTTTTTTTTTTTCCCCTCCTTCATCAAAGTCTCAGTGCTTTGGACCAAATAGGCACTCAGTAGGTATTAAATCGACAAATCCATCGAACATTTATCGAGCACCTGGCCCTCTAATTTGTAATTGTGACATCATAATATACTTTGGTAGAGTAAGTGGTAATCCTTTCTTCCCTGCAGCTGGAAGGTCAAGTTCCCCTTAGAGAGAATTTCACCTGTAAGCGTACAGGATGTGTCTTGACTCCTTTTAGTTGAGCTGGCTTGATGTGCCTTGCGTAGGAAGGTAGGCGTTGTGCAGTGAAGTTGATAATAGCTCCTTCCTTCCAGAACATGCTTTTTGTTGAGATCCCCGAGTATCGAAACAAGCACATCCGTGCATCGGTGAAGGTGAACTTCTATGTCATCAATGGGAAAAGAAAACGAAGTCAACCTCAGCACTTTACCTACCACCCAGGTAAGGAATCTTCTCTGAAGGCCCCTTTGGCATTGAGAGGCAGCACAGGCATGTGGTGAGGACACATGAGGTCGGCTTCCAGCTGGGTGACCTTGGGCAGGTGACTCACCCTCTCTGAGCCTCCATTGTCTCATCTGCCAGATGGCACCTTCCTTATAAGACTTAGAGAAGCCAAATGAATGTAAAGTGCTTAGCACAGTGCACAGTAAGCAGATATGGATGATATTAGCTATTAGTTAATAATTTCCTTTGGGAGGGCAGAGTAGGAGGGAGGCACATGTGGACTTGTTCAACAGAAGGTTGCAAAGCTGATGACTCCTGTCCATGTCTTAGATTTGCTCATGATTTGGTGAATGAACATGCCCTGAAACCTGCAGAATCTTTAGTGGACCCCACAGAGGGTGGTCACCCTGTACCCCAGAGGAATTCCTGGGTAGGTAGCCCGGCCAGGAGGTCTCATTCCCACAAAGGACTACAGTTGGAAAAAGAGTGTCAGGGGCCACTTTGCATGCATTCATTCGTTCAGAAAATCTCTGAATGCCATATCTGAGGCACTGTTCTTGGCTTGGAGATAACAGTAGTGAACAAAACCTAAAAAATCCCTATCTTCGTTGGAGCTCGTGTTCAAACAGGGGGGATTATGATAAAATATAAATTGATCAAAGGTGATCAGAGAGCAGGTAATATTGATATTATTGAGATGTCAGATTATCACTGGGGCTGCAGAGATGGCCTACAAGCTTCCCAAGGCTGACACAGGCCTGCTAGCCACCTTTCCAGGAGTGGAAACCTATAATCCAAGACTATCACCCAGGGTGTAATTTCCATCCTGTGACAGTGTCACGTGGAGCCTCTGCATTGCCGGCAGCATGAGACCAAGGGGACCATCCGGGCAGCCCAGGCTTGATGGGCTTTGGCTTTGGTGGAGTGCGTCCATAGATTTGCTTGGTCTCTCTGGCCATTGTACCATCCCAGGGCTGACATGACATGCTGTTAGTGGCACGGGCTTGCAGGAACCCAAAACTGTGTAGAGGAGAATCTCTGAGAAGGTTCTAGACTAAAGCTCAATGATCCTTTTTTTTTTTTTTTTAAGATTTTATTTATTCATGAGAGACACAGAGAGAGAGGCAGAGACACAGGCAGGGGGAGAAACAGGCTCCCTGTGGGGAGCCTGATGAGAACTCGATCCCAGGACCCCGGGATCACGACCTGAGCCAAAGGCAGATGCTCAATCATTGAGCTACCCGGGCGTCCTCAATGATCCTGTTTAACATAGAGGTTTTCCCTGTGTTCTCTGGCACTCTCACCTCATGTTTGTGGTCAGGAGGCCTCCCTGGGCCTGGCATTGGCACCTGCCTGCCTGAGCGGGAATTCAGTCTTCCGGGTCGGCCAGGGACTGCAATGATGGTCTTTAAAGGACAATTTGAGAAACAATCGCTGGTTGGTGTCCAATCTGTCTTTAGCTCTAGTGGCTGAACCTCCTTGCTGTCTCTACTTCCTTTTTTTTTTTGTTTCTACTTCCTGATGTCTGGTGGTTCCCAAACATGGTTACCATCTTGTACCCACCACATTCACTCCAGTGGGGAAACTGGTTCTTCAGCTCCTGGGACTGGCAATGCTTTAGGAAGGGATGCTGGAGGAGTACAAGTTCTGGAGACCGTCCTAGGTGGAGAGAGAAGCTGCAACGGCACCAATGCTGATGGTGGAAAGCTAGTAATAATAACAGCAAGCATTGAGCACTTACTGTATGCCAGTCACTGTGCTAAATTCTTTCCACTCATCTCATTTCATCTTCCCAACAACCCCATGGGGCCCAGGGGTGTGCTTGTTACTGCCAGGTAACAGATGTGGAAACTGAAGCCTAGGCCAGCAGGTCTCACTGCCCCCAGAATACTACAGAACTGAGATGGATCCACCACCATTTGGTCATTCCTGTTTCCTGAAAACATCTGAGTGCCAGGCACTATTTTAGGTGCTTAGGGACACAGCATGGGACAAAACAGATGCAAAAAATCCTCCCTTTGAGCATCCGACAGTCTAGCAGATAATAAGTAAGCACATGAAACATCCAGAATATTTCAGGGCGTGGTAAACATTACCAGGGACAGCAGGCAGAGAACAGGGACTGAAGTGCTAGGGCAGGAGGAGGAGGGGGTATAATTTCAGTCAAGCCTTCCTGTCTAAGCTCTGCCCCTGGGAAAAGCCTGGGAATGTCCCGGGGCTGAGACAGACCTACCAGCCATCTTTCCACTATTGGGAAGACCCACCATTCATGGTCATCCAGGGTAAAATTTCTACGTAAGACAGGGAGGCTCTTGTCCAATGCTAATAAGTGACAGAGCCTGGGGCTCTGATCCCACCTACTTGGACTCCCAAGGCCACGTTCCCGGCCCCAGTGCTCGCATCCTCTGTGTGCACCTGTGGCTCACTAAGAAGGGTGCACCCCGTGTGCTTCTCTCTCCCAGTCCCAGCCATCAAGACGGAGCCCACTGATGAATACGACCCCACCTTGATCTGCAGCCCTGCCCACGGGGGCCTGGGGAGCCAGCCTTACTACCCACAGCACCCGATGGTGGCGGAGTCCCCCTCCTGCCTCGTGGCCACCATGGCACCCTGCCAGCAGTTCCGCTCGGGGCTCTCGTCCCCCGATGCCCGCTACCAGCAGCAGAACCCAGCGGCCGTCCTCTACCAGCGGAGCAAAAGCCTGAGCCCCAGCCTGCTGGGCTACCAGCAGCCGGCCCTCATGGCCACCCCCCTGTCCCTGGCGGACGCCCACCGCTCGGTGCTGGTACACGCTGGCTCCCAGGGCCAGGGCTCCACCCTGCTGCACTCGTCTCCCACCAACCAGCAGGCCTCGCCGGTGATCCACTACTCGCCCACCAACCAGCCGCTGCGCTGCGGCGGCCACCAGGAGTTCCAGCACATCATGTACTGCGAGAATTTTGCGCCTGGCACCGCCAGGCCCGGCCCACCTCCCGTGAGTCAAGGTCAGAGGCTGAGCCCGGGGTCCTACCCCACGGTCATCCAGCAGCAGAACGCCACCAGCCAAAGAGCCGCCAAAAACGGACCCCCGGTCAGTGACCAAAAGGAAGTATTACCTGCAGGAGTGACAATTAAACAGGAGCAGAACTTGGACCAGACCTACTTGGATGACGGTAAGATGCTTGTTTTTTCTTGTTGCCCATAAGGACAGGGCCCCCAAAGTATCCCCACCCCCCCAGCAAGTTCACGCTGTGGCCTGGGTATCCATCCACCTGCCCCCGCTTTGGGCCTCCGAGTCTCCCTCTTAATGTAAAGGGTTGACTGAGATAACCCTTACTGCCTCGCTCAACTCTGTGTGCACGAGTCCTCTCCCAGCAGGACCTTGGGGGTGGCTGCTGAGAGTTTTAGATATTTCGCCATAACCACTGCAACAGAAAGAGCAAATGAGGGCAGTTCTGGCCAAAGGAGGGCTCCCTGGGTCATGAACTGGGGCAGTTTAACCGCTTCCACTCTCTTTGCATTGCCAAGTTTAGACCAAGAATAGACAAACAGAAAGGAAGGAAGGCAAACCTTTTATTCCCGTAGAGAGAGAGAGAGAGAGAAAAAAAGTCCTGCTTCATAGCCCTCTTTTGTGTATTTGGGGGAGGGGAGCAGAGAAAGGGAAGGAGCGAGTCCGCTGGAAAGTGGAGCATGAATGGGGGGCTTGCAGGCAGGCTCCGGGCATCTCTGTGCCATGTGCCAGTGGAACAGAGAGGCGCATTGACGGGAGGGAAACAGCGGGCTTCCGTTGTGGTGAGCCCGGTTGCTGGGGTGGTTGGGCCAGAGCAAAAGACTCAGGGCAGCTTTGTGTGAGTCTGTAGGTGCCTGAGTTTGGGGGAGGACATTGGGGGTAGCGGGGGCGGGGTGCCGGCTGGAAGGTAGTCTTGGCGGAGTGGCTGTGTCTGTGACAGTGGTCTGTGATCTCAGGGAGGAGGGGCCCATTGTGCTAGAGGACTCACCTGGGATCAGCCAGGTGCAGCTGATGGACAGAGAGGGCGGCAGGCAGAGCCATCCCCCCGACCAGTATCTCCCCCCACCACCACCCGAAGGGGCTCCAGAGAAAAGAAAACAGGTGGTGTGAGCTTCTTAGTAGAAGGAAAACCTATACCACTGGCTGCCATCCACAGCTCCAGCTTTGCATTTTGCAGGCGGCAGCATCTGATAGACCCCAAAACCTCAATTATTTAGGGAAATTTACTCTCAGGAACCCAGCCAGGTAATAGGAAAAGAAGGCAGAAAGCTTCAAAATGGCCACAACAGTTATCCTAGAAACCAGATACTAAGAATCAGACCCTTCAGTGGCAGGAATCCTCGGGCACTTCTCAGACTGTTGACTTTGACTCGGTGGAGAGTTTTGACGATCTGGGTGATGGGGAGTTTCGGGACTTCTAGTAGTTTGTACATCCTCTCTCTAGTGCAACTATTGGTCACACACCCAAGCCCCATCAAGCAATGATGTCTAGGGTGACTTGGTATAGGGTCAAACTGCCCTTGCAAGGCTGACCTCAGGGTATTGCCGTGTGAATAATTGATCTGTCTCATCCTGAATATTCAAACACAAGTCGAGGTAGGGCACTGTGCTTGGGTTTTAAAAGGGAGACCATGGGCAGCCCGGGTGGCTCAGCGGTTTAGCACTGCCTTCAGCCCAGGGTCTGATCCTGGAGACCCGGGATCGAGTCCCATGTTGGGCTCCCTGCATGGAGCCTGCTTCTCCCTCTGCCTGTGCCTCTGCCTCTCTCTCTGTGTGTCTCTGTTCTCTTGTGAGTAAATAAATAAAATCTTTAAAAAAAATAAAAAATAAAAGGGAGACCATAGGCAATCCGTCCTTGGACAACCCACACTTCCAAATGGCTAAGACAACATTTTGGTGCTGATTTGAAAGGGGGCTGTCTTGTAGGAACTCCATTTCATGCGGAATGCCTAATGCGAGCAGGTGAATGGAACGCGGCTGTAACCAGACCTCTCTTCACCACGCTCGTGCTCAGGGGATGTATCAGGGATGAGGTGCTTCATAAATAAATGATGCCTGAGCAGGCTCAGGTGCCTTTCCCCAGCTGGCTCTGTGTCTGGTGGTTTAGTCTCCCAGAGTGAGAAATGTGCCCCCCCCGCCCCCCACCTGTCTGTCGTTCCACATGAAAGACAAATGGTGAGGGTCTCTATTAGAGATGGTGAGTTAGTCAGTGCCCTGGTCCTTAGGGATCCATCAGTATACAGGTGGTCATGACTCACCTTCCAGGGTCCGTCATGGCTCCAGGCCGCAAAGGTGCTTCCTGTTTTCACAGAAGCCTGGGTTAGGGACAAAGCAGCTGAGGATAGAGACCCCATAGGGCCTCCTAAATGCCTTTCTGAACACAGGCCAGTTCAAAGTCATGGTGAAAGTGAGCTCTTGGCAGGTCGGTAACATGAGTCGGCTCTGAGGATGTCTCAGAGAACTGAGTGCGGTGAAATTGCTTCTCCTGATGGGGCCTGTTTTTCAGTACTTTGTGCACAAGTCCAATCCCATGGGATCTTAGGACATAGTCTCTGAAGTGAGGGTTCCAGGGCTTAAAAAAAAAAAAACAAGTTTTTAAAATTTACTGTGGGATTTCTCAGAGCCTTTACTGTACTTGTGGACAGTGTCAATCTGTAAAATGAGGGATGTAGCACTTCCCTGAATTAGTCACACACAAGACAGTGTGCAGCTTGAGGGGTGCCATTCACACTGCATTTTATTATACCGTCTGTGAATGGAATCCCCGGAGTGGTACAACACGGCAGGCCTGGAACCCCTGTTCCCCAGCCTTCTGGGGAAATAACACTGAGGGAAATCCAGAGTTTAGAAGCCCAGTGCTGCCCCCATCCCCATATGGCTGTATTCACGCTTCTGAGTTATGTGGCTTCACGGGGGGCCAGAATAGGACAAGGCAATAGAATAATGTCTGCCTGTGTGGCTTCCAAAAGGCAGCAAGGTGGCTGCTGGTTAGATGTTCAGGACTTGACCAGCAGCGTCTCCAAGGCTCTGCACAACCCAGGACCACCCAGGGGGGCCAGCTGTGCGCAGTGTAAGCTCCAAACAGCACCACTGCTGTAGCCACCAGAAGAGATGTGTGCACTTCGGTCTCCTGATTTGCTGAGATTTCAGACCCCTCCGATGGGACATTCTCGGATTCCACAGTTGGCTTTGTGGATGTGGGAGTCAGACTTCTCAGTCGATTTTGCATTTCTTTCTTTCTTTTTTTCTTTTTTTGCATTTATTTCTGACAGGCAATCTGGAGATCCTTGGGTCATCTCTCTAGTCTGGCTGGGAGACATCCTGGGTTGTGAAGCTGCCTGGCCCCCCCCCCCCGCTTCTTTTTTTTAAAGATTTTGTTTATTTGAGAGCAAGAGAGAGAGGATGAGGGGCAGAGGGAGAAGCAGACTCCCTGCTGAGCAGGGAGCCCAATGTGGGGCTCAATCTCGGGACCCTGAGATCATGAGCTGAGCTGAAGGCAGATGCTTCACCGACTGGGCCCCCCAGGTGCCCTGTTAAGCTCCTTTTCTACACCTTTCACCGATTACTCAGAGGGAGGCTCCCCCCCAAAATATATATCAGGCTGTGCATCCTGGAGCTGTGTGTGCTTCCAGTGGTGGGGATGTCTCATGTGACTTTCCTTTGCCTTAGGATTTTGGCAGAGTGCACTTTCCTCGGAAACTTCTCGAGAGCAGTTTAAGTGTTTCGAGGGTCAAGGGGAGGTTTCTCGGGCTGCAAGAGGAAGGGGCCACCAGTGGACTCCGGTCCAAACACAAGCAAAATAATCTTTGAAGTTGATCGTGCCACCTGACTGTGATCCCTGGGAGCCCTCATGCTTGGTTATCTTTTCCTGACCCTTCTCGAAAGGTCCCGAGTGCCTTGTCTGGGCGTCCCACCTGACTCCATCATGTTGCATTCCTGCACAGAGACAGTCTGTCTGGGGCCCACTTTTTCTTGGAACTCCAAAATGCAGCTTCTGCTTTCCCCACTCTGAGGATTTGAGACATTTTCACTGAGTCTCATTCTGAACTGGCAAAGTAAGTGAGATTCCAGGGCAACACGCATCCCCACTCCTCCCTCTCCCTACGCTCCTCCACCCAAACCAGGCACTTTCCATCGTTCTTCTGAAATGTAGGCTTTGCACACGTACTGCCTTCTTTTTTCTCTGTCCTCTTGTCACTTCTCTACACCGTTCCTTGTTCTAAAGTCCCTAGTTTTACCTGGAAAACACCAGTCATGAATGAATTCTTCTCCCCCCTTCCCTTCCTGCCTCCAACCTATCTCCTGCCAGCCCTCCCTGCCTAGAGGCCTCCCTCCTTCCCTCTGTCCCCTCCATCCTGACCGTCCTTCCCTCCCTCCTTCCCACCTCCCTCCCTCGCCTAAGTAGTGACAGGCTGCCTACTGTGTGCCAGGCATTGTTCCGGAACTTGGGCACACAGGTGAACAAGTCAGACGAAGTCCTTGCTCACGTGGGATAATTTTTCCGTAAAGGAGGTAGACGTTAGTATGGAAGGTAATATGTAAGCACATTTCAGATGGTGATAAAAGGCCATGAGGGAACCTGCACAAGGTGAGGAGTGAGAGTATAGCCGGATGGGGGTGGTATTGGCCCCTGAGACCCAATGCAGAGAGGCTGCTGTGGGGAGGTGGTGGTGGCTATGAGGGTAGAGGAGGGGGTGGGTTTTTGGCAGTGTGGTGTGATCTGATTTACCTTTTGAAAAGCTGACTTTGGTTGTGTTTGGAAAATGGACCGTAGGTAGGCAAGAGTTGGCCAACAGGGGCTTTACTTTGTTTCAGACAAAGCCAGATACAAAGAGCGAGAATCCCACAGCAGGTGGGTTATGGAGGGGTGAGTCGTTTTACAAAAGGTTGCCTTGTACGTCCTTTCATTAGTGCGATTATTTAAAATGTAACTGGAATTGTCAAAACGTGTTTAGTTCACAAATAGTTCTTGCATTGCCGTTGCCTGGAATGAGGTGGCTGTACCTCATCGGCCTAGGTGATCCAGCAGGTAGGTAGGTGGGGGGGGGGGTTGTGCCGTGCAGGCCCAGGCAAGGGAAGAGGCAGGGGCAGGTCTCCTCCCATGTGCCACTGATGGCACAGTCTGCAGAACTGGTGGGGGAGGGTGTTCTCTGGTCATGAGGC